AGTGAGAGTGAGGAAAAGGATGGGGTAGAAGACGGCCAGCCCCGGGGATTAGGGCCTGGTAAACTGTGTAAGTGATGACGCCATCAACAGTATTGGGAGGGAAGGTGGAGGTGGTTTTGGTGTAGGTGAATGAGTTCAACGTTAGAAATATTGAGTCCGGTGTCCCTAGGGATGACCAGGGAAGATGACTAGTGGGAGAGTGGTAATCTGGGATCAGCAGTGCCCAGGGATTGGTCAAGGCCATCGGTGTGAGTGAGGTGACCTGAAGAACACATGGAAAGAGAAGATGGCAGGCGCTCCCAACCTGAACACAGCGATGCCTAAAGGGTGAGGGAGGAGGAGAAACCCCCAAGGAAGGAAGAAAAGGGTGGTCAGAGAGTTAAGCAGAACATGGGGAAGTGGCTTTATGAGGGCCAAGAGTTCCAATAAGTACAAGGTCACCAGTGTCAAAACTCAGAGAGGTCAAGCAAGGCGAACACTGACCAAGGTCCCCTGGATTTGGTGATTCGAGGAGCATGGGTGAGCTTTGCCATGGTGACTTCAGTGCTGCTGCTGAGGCAGTGGAAGCCTGGGCTGGGCCCCACAGGGTTGGAGAGGGCGAAGGAGGTCCAGAAGTGTAGATAGAAAGAGCACACCATTTCCTTCTTTTCCTTTGCAATTTCTATACTTTCTTCTCTCCCCATCTTGCCCTGACCCTCTTCTTCTCTTCCTTCCTTGCTTTCTTTTCTTTGTTTTTGGAACCTGCCTGTGGAAGAAGAAAAGGGAGGATGCTGGGGGGAAGGGAATGGTCTGGAGTCTGGTGTGGTTAAAGTAGGAGAGCCTTGAGCTCATTTAAAGGTAGAGGTGAGCTGCCAGAGTGCAGGAGAGGAGGACGGTCAGGAAGGAGGACAGAATCCAAAACAGATCCGCCTTAAAGAAGAGAAGCGTCACCCCTCTGAAGGGGGAGGAAGGGCCGTGCGGTGTGGATATAGGTGCTTGTGTAGATGCTCACGTTGCCCAGGCTGGCAACAAAGCTACAAAATTAGTGCTGTTTTATGTTAATCACTCTTGCCTGCCCGCAGTGCTTACGCCTTGAGCAGAGGGGAATGGGCCCCCAATGCCGCTTTTCCACCAGTGTTGACATGGAGCCTGGGTACGGTGGCTATGGTCAGATGTCAGGAAATTTGTGGTTCTGACCTGGCCTTCAGTCCAAGCTTGTGCCCTGTGGTCTGGCTTCCAGCCTTCCTAACTAAGGCAGGCAGGCACCCTAACTGTGGATCAGGCGCCCCAGAGGGAATAATTAGCTTCCTTCCTGCCGAGCTTGCAAACCACCCGATACAAAGTGGCGACAGTGGATGTCACATGGGGGATGCTTCATCTCACAGTTGGTCCGGGGGCTGGAAACATAATTTGGGGCTCAGGGCAGACACCAAATCCTTCTGCAGACATTGGAGCCAGAAGGCAGGGCCACGACTCCAGCGGCTCCTGCTGGGGGCCAAGCCCCAGCGAGTGACCTAGGCAGGGGCCTACTTCTGTTCACAGTCCCAGCAACCAGGATTCCCAGGACTCTGGGGTAGGTTTGAGACTCCAGGGAAGCAGCTGTGTCTGCAGCCAGTGCCTCCCAGCTTCCCCTTTAGGTCCTCCCCATCCCTTCTGGAAGCTTCTTCTGTGCTCACTGCCCCCAGTCCAAGATCCCTCCTGAGGGGTGACAGGAAATGCCTAAGGCAGCTCTGAGGTTCCCCTTTAGTGAGGGGGCCTCTGAGGGTGACCAGAGCCTTTGGACTCCTCATGCCTCACCTGGCTTACATATTCTGAGCGCTTGTTCTATGTGCTCTGTGTGTTTTTAAAGATCCATTTGATCTTTCTACCAGATGGTCTGAGTTAGGCACTACTGCAACGCTCTTCATGTCACAGCTGCAGAAACCGAGGCAAGGGAGGGAAATGACTTCTCCAAGAGCAACGAGGAGGTGGAAAATGGCTTCACTCCTGCTCCCCAGTGAGTCCCACATAAATAGGCTGAAGGGGAGAGGCCGGTCAAAGGTGGGGTGACGGCACATCCTACTTGCCTGGAATAGTTCCAGTTTTCACCTGTCATCTCAAAGTCATTCGTAAAAGCATCCCTTCCGCTCTCCAAATCACCCTGATTGGGATCATTTAGGGTCACCTAGATGGGAGGGGCGCTGGGAGTCTTTCCCAGGCCCCGGATCACCTGACTAGGCCATAGCCCTCTGGCCTATTCCACTTCCCCTTGCCACGCCTCAGGCCACATTATAAAGTGTGGCAGTGCCTCCGGCCAGCTATGGGCCGGGTGGCTGGGGTGGGCAGGAGGGCTCGGAAGGCTACCGAGCGCCCTGTGGCCTAGTGGGTGGCGGTTATCATTGCAGGAGATCAGAACTCCTGGCCCACAGGCGGCACTTGAGCCTGCCAGCCCTCCCCACTCCCTGGAGGGACAGGGTGGAGTTATGCTAACTGGGAACACTGGGGATGGCTCCCCAAGGGAGCACAGGGCCCTGGGGAGAGCAGCTGGAGGAGAGAACGGTGGAAGAGCGGCTACTGGCCCAGCTCCCCACGGGGCAGTGCAGCCAGCGGTGCCCGGCCTAGGGGGAAATCTCTGACCCTCCCCCATCAGGCCGCCCTCTCCAGGAAGGACTGCATTATATGCCTGACTCAGTACAACTCAGCTCCTTGAGACAAGGGACAGTTTGGGCAGCCAGGGGCCAGTCCTGGGGCTCCAGGTGGGTGGGAGGCTCTCCTCAAAGGCCCACAGGACTCTGAACTTATAGGTCTCGTCACAACTCCTTGACCTCCACCAGGCTGGGACCCTGGGCAAGCAGAAGGGTAGGGCAGGGGCCTCAGGCTGCCATCTGCTCCTGGCTGAGCCTCCTCCCTGCCCCCTGCCCCCAGCCCCAGCTCCTTCCCCCAGCCCCTTCTTCTGGCCCCTACCTCCGCCCACCTGAGGCCTGGACTTGACCTTGCTAGCTGTAGGGGGAGGGTGTGATAAGCATCTCCGTGGAGGGAGCTAGCTGCCTGCAAAGGCATTTTCCGCTCTCTAAAGTAAACAATCAAACAGGAAATTAATCGAGAAACCCACATCAACGGAAGGTTCAGGTTGTGATTTTCACAGCCCCAGAGCCAGGAAATTCAAAGTTACAGTTCCCATAGTAACTTGCCTGTAGAATCAGTGACTGCTGGGCTGGAACAAGGCCCTGAGGGGTCAACCAGGCCAGCCCTTGCCTCCGGAAAGCATCGCCCAGCAGTAAGTCTGAGAGTCTCAGGGTAAGCTGCTCTTCTGAGGTGGAACATTAATCCTGAGAACGCTGCGCGGTCAGGCTCTACCTTCCATGCTCACAGGAATGGGGGCTCAGGTGACCTCTCAAGGATTCCATTGTCCCACTTTCTATAATATATTCCCGTACTCCCTTGAGCACCCCCATCCACAGGCCTGCATTCTGTGAAACGGGAATAACACTCATCAGGCCTCCTGCTTCACCGGCTGCAAGGCAACCAAGTGCGGGGCTCAGCGAGGCCTGGCTTCCACACTCACGCCCTACCAGCCTTGCTCTACTCAGTCCCATGAGACCTGACCTCCCTCTCCACCCATCCCCACTGCCCCCGAATCTTATAACTGGCATTGGCCCATCCCCTGGTTGTTTCTCTTCCAAGAGACATCTCAGTGGACTGACAGGTCCAGGAGCTTTGGAAACAGCCACCAAGGCAGTTCCATGACTTGGAGATCCTTGTCACCCCAACCCTCCCACCCCTTGTCAGCACCAAATACATTGATATTAAGCTCAGTGAACACTTACTGCCCCCCTGACTGATAATCGGGTATATTTAATGAAACCAGAGGCAAAGCCTCCACATCCAGTAGAGAGGGGCTGCGCATCTTGGGTGGAGTTCTCTTTTGTGTGTGAGCCCTGAGGAGTCCCTGCCTGGCAGGAAAGGAGACAAGGGCGGCGGAGCTCAGCCTCAGACGGAAACAGTCTAGAATCCTTCCCTGAGAGCCACCCTGCCCTCACACCCGAGATGGCCACTAATAGCTGCCAGGCCGTATCAGCCAGGCGCGGACCCCTGGGATAACACCAGCTGAGGAGACAGCCACTGCCTGCCAGGCACCGGGCCGGTGGCAGAGGGGGCCTGCTGGCCTGCCCACACGCCAGCCTGGCCCCTGAGCCAGCGCCTTGAATTGAGCAAAGCAGTGTCAAGACACAAGTGGCGCCTGCTGGAAAGAGACAGAGTGTCTCCTCAATTTCCTAACAGGCCCAGCCGCATGCCAGGGGCGGACAGGCCAGCTCAGAATGCCTGGCCTGGCTTGCGAAACAGTCCTTTCCTCCTCTGGGTAAGCTTCCCTGGGGGCGACTAAACCGCAGTCCAGCCGCCCAGTTCCCTGGAGGAGCTAGGCTGCCGCGAGGGCGCTGCCCTAGGCAGAGGGTCTGAGTTCTCTGCTGTCTCAGAGGGAAGCCCGGGGAGGCCACCCACCAGCTCAGAAGGAGGGCCTCCCCATGCCCAGAGCCCAGGGGCTGCCCCAGCCACGAGTCCCCTGCCTGCTCACTGAGTGGGCACAAGATCATCTGCAGGGCTATGCCAACTTACAGTTCCCTGAGCCTGAGAAGAAGCTTCATAGAAGACTTTTTATGGGATGTTTATGTTAACCAGGTACCCTCCTACATGTAGGGGGCTGTTACCAACCTTGGACTTTATTGAGGATGAGTCGGGGAGGGCATAAATAACGAGCAAGGGTCATTTAGAAAAGGCACACACTGGCTCACTTCTCTGCCACCGGGCATGGAAGTCTGAAGAAACCTTTGCTTAAACCATGTCCTTTTTTGCATGATAATCTTGGCATGCTGTATTTACATCAACACTTGCAGTAGCCTGGTTCCCAGAAAGAGGTGCCTGTCTTCTAGGGTAGGGGTGGGGTGGAGTGAAGCCATGTGGCGGGAGCTGGGTTGGAGGGCTATCCTCTGGGTGAGGGAGTGCAGCTGGTTCTGCAGTGGGTTTGGGCATAAGGCAGTGAGCAAGGACCAACTGGGTAGGACAGCTGGGCTGGGGACAATTAAGCTCTGTTCACGTTCAGAGAAGAATCAGGCTGTGCTAGCGGCATAATTAGCATTGTGCTCAGAGGAGCTGCCGCCCATTGGAGGAGCAGACAGGCCTGGGCTGAGAAAAGGGCCTGGGGCTGCCCGGGGTGTCAGCAGGGATTTGGTAAGTACTCTTTGCCAAATCTAAGAGACTCGGAGATAAGAGAAGTTAATTGGCACCTGGAAGTTTGTTTGACTTTAGAGCCTTACCCTTAGCAGAATATAAATTTTAATAATAGGGCAACTCTTAAGTTGAGACGATCTTTCTGGATGAATGAGCATGCGAGTCAATGTTTTGTTATCACCCGTGCATTCTCACTGTGTTCAACTGGCCAGGCTGCATGGGGTAAGGGCTTAGCCTGGCATTCAGGTGCTCGCTGGCCCACTTCCGCCCTGGGCCCTACAGCCTTCCCACCCTGTCACCTTCACAGACCTCCAATCTACCCACATTCATCTGTTCATAGGTCTAAGGATGCATCCTGTCCCTATCTGCCGCTGGCTTTTGCTGAAGATTCTCTGTGCTAGGCATGCCTTTTCCCATTTTGGCTCCACTGACCAGATCCCTTGAGACCAACTGCAAGAGCCTCCTCCAGGAAGCCTTCCCTGATCTTCTACGACCTCTGTAGCCAGAAGACTCACCACTCCCAGCCTGGGGCAACTGTTGCTTCTACCTAGTTCTAGGTCTCCTCTAGCATCTACCTAGATTAGCTTTTCTTCATATTGCTCACACAGGAACTTGGGTCTGCCTAGCCCTCTTGGAAGACCTGAAGATTGGATTTGAAAGAAGGCATGGCTTCCTGCTGGCTGGGGTGAGGCCACTTGGAAGGGCCTCTGTTTCCCGGATGCAGCCCCCCAGCGATATAAAGCCTTGGAGCACAGCAAGTCCTGCATCCAACTTCTGCAGGGAGCCTGAGGGGGTAGTAACAACTTTTCATTCATTCACTTGTTCAACAAGGAGGCACAGATCCTGGACTCGTGGATTTATGAGTCTGGGAGGGAAGACAGGTGGTGCATAAGCAGGTCAGCATTTGGAACAGGCTGTCAAGTGAGACTGGCTGGATTCTAACCCTGACTCAGCTGCCTCGCTGGTCATGTTGCGCAATACGGGAGACCTCTCTGTGTCTCAGTTTCCCTACCTGTGAAGTAGGATAGTAAGATTACCTCCCGCCAAGGGTAGCTGCAAGGGTTAAAGAAGATGATGTGGAATATTTAGGATGAGCTCAGTCAGTGGTGGCTCTTGTTACTGAGTGAGCTGCAAGTAGCACAGCGGAGGGTGGGTGGGGTCAGTGATGGAGAGGAGAGGAGGCTCAGGGACAGCTTCCTGGGAAGAAAGCTTTGAAGGTACAGCCAGGAGAGTGGGGTGAGGAGAGGAAAGGAGGGAAGGACACTGTGGACAGGGAGGAAGGTGAGCCTGGAGTGCTGAGAGAGGGCGGCAGGGTGAGGCTGAGCCCAGTTAGAAGGCTGGTGGAGAATTCAGGGGAAAGGAGACAGTGGCCTAACCGAGTCGTGGAGAGGGAGAAAAGTGGTGGCCAGACTCAAAAATCTGCAAGAGCTGCTGCTCACAGACCCTGGGAACTGGCAGCAGGGTCGGGGTTCGTGTGAGTCAGGCATGGCCTCGGGTCTGTAGCCAGCACAGCCTGGAGGTCCTCTGCTGGGAGGAGGTGCAGGCTTGGGGAGCAGAAGATGGGTTCCACTAGGACCCTTAGAGTTTGAGGGGCGGGTGGGCAGGCCGGGGGAGGTGTCAGGGAGATGTGCCCACGACTGGAGATGCAGATCTGGAGTTTGTGCAGGTCACGTTTGGGGGCTGCTGCTGTCCTTGATTCTGCCTGTGACCCACACAGGCTTCGGGTCCTGCCCTGGGGGCCCCACCCTGGCTCCTGGCCAGCCGTCGCTGCCTGTTCCCTGGCAAATCTCTCTACCTCTCCATGTGTCTGGTTAAGGGGCCATCCAATCAGTGAAGCTTTGGAGAAGGCCATAAAGGTGGACACAGCGCCTGAGGGAAGGCTCCTACACTAAACTCTGGCATTAGCCCCGAGGGAGACAGGGGTTTCGGGGTCACACACATACCTTGAGCCACCCAAGTGTGTGCAGCTACAGCCTCAAGCACAGACATGCTGTCTGTGTTGTGCTTTCTATGTAGCTTGAAAGGGGACTCGTTTCGGGGGGACACAAAAATCCATCTTTATATTTCCTCAGATTTTCTCCAGCACCTGCCTGTGCAAGCGCCCAGGTGAGCATGGTCCAGGTGGGCCGGTGCCGAGAGGCTTACGTGAGGCCTGGGCCGCCCAACGCGCTCAGCTCGGAGGGCACTGGCTTGGGAAGGCAGGGCACCTGCCTTCCCACAGACATTCACCCGGGATGAAAGTTCAGTGCAGGCTCCAGCTCCTATGTGAGTGTCCCCCCAGCCCACGGGCTGTGGATGTGCTGGGTGTTGGGAGAGAAGCCGGAGGAACAAGCAGGTGCTTTGTTGCTGTTGTTTCTGGATTTTCATGAATGCCAAGACTACATACTCAGAGCAGTGAGGACTCTTCCTCCTTTAAGGACACTGATGGGGAGCAAGTGTGGGGGAAAGTAGAGAACAAATCAGTTCTTCTATTTTGCAGTGTAAAATAAAACCCCGGGGAAGACGGGCTTTGTTTTTAAAAGTCTCTCTTCCCCAGCGTGCCCCATCTCTGGCATTGGACAGCAGAACCAAGTCAGAGTTCCAGAGACAGCCCTACTCCCTTCCCACCAGGGTGGGTGTGGGTGTGGGGAATTCCCAGCCTCGAAGTCACCCAGCTGCCCAGGGCTGCTGGCACAGGCTGGTGAGTGATAGGGGCTCGGGACACCTGGGAGCAGGGAAAGGGCTGCGTCCAGTGGGTGGTTCCCAGCCCTGGGTTTGTACTGGATCCACTTAGGAGAGAGACAGATCCCAGCCCTCAGTCTTTCATTTTAGGGTTGGAGCGCCTACGCAGGGCTGTGGGGCCTAGGAATCCGGAGGTATAGTAAGGTTTAGTAAGTAAGGTATAGCGATCCTAGGTGTAGTAAGATCTCTGGGTGTTTCTGGTGCAGTCAGAGTGGGCACCACTGAGAAAAATGTCTCTTCAGGTGGATGGGAGTTGCAGAGGCTCCATATATGACGGAGACCCTCTTAGCTCAAATCGCCTTTGTTCTGTTTGGGCTGGGCTCACCCAGGCTCAAGTGCCCCTAGGCCCATGACCTCTACCCCTGCCTTCAGGTGCTTCTCCGGCCCAGACCTCGGCCCTCCCCAGCGCTCAAGGTGCTCCTCCTCCTCTGAGTTCCTGCATCGCTGAGAATTTGGACTCTGGATGTGAAATGAGCAGCAGCCTTGGTGGCCTCTGAGTGGGGAAGTGTGCCAGGCCCCTGCTAAGTGCTTGGTGAGCCTTAAACAGCCTTGTCCTCGCCCCCACCCTGTAGGCAGGTGCCAATGTCCCCTTGCTCTAGGGAGGGGCTCTGGTGAGCACGGGGACGAGGATTTGGATCTGAGGCCATGAGGTTCTTGTTCCTCCCATTACCAATGTGTGTATGGGAGGCCCCGGGAAAGAGGTCCCCAGCTGGGGGTCCCCAGCCCCTGGGCATTGCCCACCCATGGCTTGGATGGGAGACAGGAGGAGCAAGAAGAGATCCCCAATCCTTGGCAGCTGGAAATCTCTGGGCTTCACTCATTTGCCCCCAGGCCAGGCAGTGCAGGCTTCACTGTCAAACCCTGGCTGCCTCAGCTCCCTGCCCTTCCCCTCTCCTTAACAGCCCAAACGTGGGTAGGATGCAGGACTAGTAGCTGACAATTTCCCAGGGTGTCCCAGTGGCCCTGGTGCCTTCTTAGCAGGCTGATGGCAGGTGATGTGGACGAAGCAGGGGACACACTAGAGATGTTATCCATGTGCGGTGCCCAGTAGGAAACCAGAGGCACAGCTTGGGTGGCTGGGCCAGCACCAGAACTCAGATTTCCCGACTCCTAGCTGGGTGTTCCTGCACCAGGCAAAGAGGAGAGGCGCAAAGGAGGAAAACCTGGCTAATCCTCACCTGGGCACCACCAACGGCAGGCTCCTGGGGCTTCCTACCCTGCTCCCCTGCCCCTCTAGGGGAATGTCTGGGGCTGGCAGCCCGGGGGACCTGGGGGATGTCGGGACGTGGAGGGCTGAAGTGATGGGGTTGGTTGGGGATGTCAATTACTGGTGCCTCATAATTGCCCAGGCCTTTGGAGTCGAGGTATGAGAAGCTGGGGGGTCTGCCCTATATACATCTTAGGGGGTAGCAAGGTGGTGGAGGGGTCCCCTAGAACCAGTGGTGACCCCATCGTCCTCCAGGCAGAGCAGGTAGGGCCCACACAACACTTAGAATCAGGCCTTGAAAAAGACCAGGCTGAGCATGGGGACCCTGAGGGGCAGCCCAGGGCCTCTATGAGGGCTGCTGGCTGTGCTCAAGAGGGGGCATCTGGTGGGACCACATCAGCCCCAGGAGCTGGTACAGAACACACTTGAACTCTGACCTTGTTGCTGGGATCTTGAATGCTCCAGAGCACAGTGGGGCTGCCTCTTTAGAGAAGTGGCTGCTAGGGAGGAGGGAGGGGCCTGGAGGTGGGTGGGCTTCAAGGCAGTGGCTCCCAGGGTGGGGTGGACATTTATGCCTTCCTGCAACAAAAGTTCACAGGCTACAGGGCCTGGGGTCATGGGGACCAGACAGCCCCGTGCCTGTCCTCAGGTCACCTACAGCGGCAGGCAGAGGGGTGGAATGGCAAATGCAAACAGGGTGCTGGGAGGGAGCCCCTTTAGACGGATGAGGTGGTCAGGGCAGGCTTCTCTGCAGAGGAAACCCGAAGGGTGAGAGGGCAGCCAAGTCAGGGTAAAGGTGGGTGGGGGGCTTGCTGGGAAGGGATAATGACCGACAGCTCCCACACCAGTCCTCTCTCCGGACCTGGTCCAACATGTCCCACTTGATCCTCATATAGCCCCATCGCTGCTTTACAGACCACGCCGGAGGGTGGAGATCAGATAATCTCCAGTATGCCCAAGGCCACTCAGGGGGGTCAGGGAGCTGATTCCCAAATCCAGGAATCCGTCTGAAAAGTTTGGTGCTCCCTGCTGCACTGCGCTTATAGATGTGGGATCCTTCAGCTTTCGCGGGAGCATGGATCCCTTTGAGGATCCTGATGAAAATCTGCACCTCTCCCAGAAAAATGCACCTCTACACAGGTTCACAGACATCTGCATACAATTTCAGGGTTCTCAGACCCTGAAAGCCACCAAGGACCCCAAGTACATAAGCCTTACACAGCACAACCTAAATTGTCAATGGCAGTGTCTCAGGAGGGGAGGGCAGGACAGTGACTACCTCTGTGAGGCCATCAGCACAGCTATGGCTGCACATGCTGTCTGAAGGATCAGGTGGCCTTTTCCTGTGGCTTTTGAGGCTGAGGCTGAGTACCCTTGTGGCGGATGCATAACGCCAGGATGGCCAATAAAGACACCATAGAAGTTCCCTACCGTGTGCCTGACACTGGACAGATTTAATCGCCAGGTCTTCTGGGAACCCCGCAGAGTTAGGGGTTGTTTTCTTATTTTACTGATGGAGACTGAGGCTTACGGAAGAGAATTTGTTTCAAGTCCCCGCCAGTACTATGAACATGGGATTTGAAATCATGCAAGTCTGACATGCAGACCTCGGTTCTTTCTATTTTTCCTTCTCACGGAGGGGGCTTTTTGCTTCCTGGAGGCCGACAGGGAGTTTCTCTAACGTAGGTTGGAGTGGTCAGAAGGGAGCGAACTGACAGCACGAGGAAGGCTCAGCGCAAGCCAGCTCCATTCATGGGAAGTGACTCACTGCAGCCCTGCCGCTCTCGGGCTCCAGGGGACACATACACATTTCCTGTGTCTCGGCCAGGGCCTTGGGCAGTGTGAGCTGGCAGGGCAGATCGCTGAAGGCGGCTAGAGATACAAAACCACCCAGCTCTGCATTCTGAGACAAAGAAGCCTCTCCCTGGGCTCATATGACAGAGGTATGTTGCCTCTGGACCTCAGTTTTGCTGTCTGTAAAATGGGGAGAAGGTCAGACTAGATTGGGCATATTCAGTGTGGGATCCCCCTAAGGACAGCAACAGCGGCACCTGGGAAACTGCAAATTCTCCTTTATGACAGTGGCTCTCAAACTTTAACATGCATCAGAATCATCTAGAGGGTAGTTTCGCACTCGAGAACCACGTAGTGAGATCAGGGATCCGTGAACTACAGTCCACAGGCCAAATCTGCTTTTTATGGTCCATGAGCTAAGAATAGTTTTTCCATTTTTCAGTGGTTGGGGAAAAAAAAATCAAAGAAGAATATTTTGTGACACATACAAATTATATGAAATTCAAATCTCAGTGTCCATAAATAAGGTTTCGTTGGCACACAGTCACTCTCAGTCATTTGCATATCGTCTACGGCTGCTTTTTCCGCTTTGAAGGCAGAGTCGAGGCGCTGGCTCTCCTGGCTTCACACTGCTGCTCTGGCCCTGCACCTCCTAGGGATGTGGTTAAACTCGGCTTTGCCTCTTGGTCTGCAGAGCCTGAAATATGTACTGTCTGGCCCTTCGTACAAGACATTTGCTGACCCTGATCTACAGAGAGAAGGGAAAGGAAGAGAAGGGGAGGGGAGGGGAAAGGAGGTGAGAAAAGGGTAGAGAAGGGGTGTGTGCAAGAGCTGGGGTCCCTTCTGGGGAAAGATGAGGTGTCAGGGGCTTTTGGAATCTGAGAGTCTTACTCTGTGCTGGGCCAGCACTTGGAATCTTTTGCACAGTTGCTTTGAGGGTGATCTGGAAGGCCCCTCTCACCAATAAAGACTTTCCTTCTTGCCTGTACAAAAACCTAACATTCCACTTCTAGAGCAGGGGCTTTTAACTGGGAAGCCCCCCCATCCAGAGGCCAGGCTTCAGGGGTGCTAGGTAAAATTTTATGCATGTAGGTGTTTTCTGGGGAGAGAGATTTTGGTGGTGCCGGTGAACTTCTCTACCCCTCCCAAATCCCAAGCACCCTTTTTTTTTTTCCTTTGGGGCCCACATTTTTCTCTTTCTATCCCTCCTTTCAAAATGTGAAAGTCCCTGGAAGGGGGACACTGTGCATGTACATCCTCCTACCTAGGAAAGGGGTGAGGTGATCTGATGTGACCAGGCAGGCCTTAGGAAAGTCCAGAGAGTCTGAGGAGGGGTGGCGGCGGGGGGGCGGGGGGAACGGAGAGAGAGGAAGTGGTGACGAAGGAAGAGGGCCTCTTTCCCAGAAGGCTGCGGGACCCCCAGGCCCACAGAGTCTGCACTCATCTGCTTCTCCCCACCAGCAAGAGGCACCCAAGGCTGGCAGCCCACGCGGCTACCCTCCCACCGTCACTGGTGGGCGCCTCCACTCCCAGGCCCCACAGGCCTGCAGCGTTAGCCAAGCAAGTCTCAACTCTGGCCCTGGGATTCCAGGTATTTTCCCAGCCAGCCGCACCTCATCTAATTGCTTTCCAGTCAGCTAATCCCTGGCCCACGCCCTCTGCTCCGGCCAGGCAAGCCACCTCTGTGTGGCCAGCAGGAGCTTTCTGAGGCTTCCCATGGCACGCGTCCAAGCCTGGGGCAGCCTCTCGCCTCCCCTTGCCCAAACCACATCCTCTTTGTCCTTCCCCACACCTCCGACTCTCCTCTGACTAACATTTCCAAACCAAGCAGAGCTTGGTCCAGTCCAGACCGAAAGCAGCAGACGAACTCACTCCCCACCACCCCCGCCCGCCAGACGCATCACTTCCTGGCTATCAGGGAAGAGCAATTAGCAAAAAAGTGGAGCTGTACCTACTGCTCAATTTCCAGAGCTAATTGTTTTAAGCAGGGTTTTGGCTTTAATTAAAGGATAATTAGTTACTGAATGTGTGTTTGCATTTCCACAAGTGTGTTTGCATTTCCTAAGTCTGGCTTTTAACCCTGGGAAACCAGATTCAGCAAATACTTTTATGTTTCAATACTTCTGAGTAAGGGAGAAGGTCTTAATTACAGAAAAGGTAGTCCTGTATAATCAAAGGGCAATGCAAGAATGAGCTAATTGTGCCTTCCACACGCTTGGCCATGAGTTCTGTCGAGCTGCCATGAGTAGAGGGTGGCAGCTGCCCGGCCCTGCCTAGCACTGTGCCCCCATCTGTGGATTCTGTTCTTATCCCCATCATGCAACTGGCCACCCCTGCCATGGCCCTTCTCTTCCCTTTCTATGTGCTTCTTCCTTCTTATCTTTTGCCCCCTCTTTGGCACTTGGGAGGTTGAGGCGGGTGGATTGCTTCAGCCCAGGAGTTCGAAACCAGCCTGGGCAACACAGCAAACCCCATCTCTACTAAAAACACAAAAAATTAGCCAGGGGTGGCGGTGCACACCTCGAGTTCCAGCTACTTGGTGGGCTGAGGTGGAAAGATTGTTTGAGCCTGGGAGGTCGAGGCTGCAGTGAGCCCTGACTATGCCACTGTATTCCAGCCTAGATGACAAAGGGAGACCCTGTTTAAAAAAACAAACAAACAAAAAGACCAAGTTTTGCAGACCCTGTGGGAGCTCTCCAGCCAGGCAGCCCCCGCATGCACATTGGCTGTGAGCTTGAGGTTTTAGTATTCATGGTGTCCCTTTGCTGCCTGGTGCTGTGAGAGGTGATGAAAAGTACTTTTGAGACTTTGGGAATCCAGATACTTTAGGGATCCAGAACAGCTCCAAAAGCCTGAGGATTCCAGAAGCTGCCTCCAGACCGCCCTGTCCAGCGTAATAGCCACCAGCCACATGTGGCCTTGGGCACTTCAAATGTGCCTGAGTCCAAACTGAGAGCTGCTTTCAGTGTAAACTACACACTGGATTTCAAAGACTTCGTACCAAAGGAGAAGAATGTAAAAAATATCCCACTGGTACTTTTTAATATTGATCACATGTTAAAATAATTATTTTGATATATTAGACAGCATAAAATTAATTTCACCTGTTCCCTTTGCAGTTTTTTAAAACGTGGCTACTAGACAATTTGAAATTACACTTGTGGCTCACATTAGACTGCTACTGGACATGCTGCTCCTAGGTGAATCCTGCTGTAATTGTCAAGGGCTAAAGGGTTTCCGTCATTCTCAAGGTCTGTGACTGTGGGAGTCCCTTCCCATCCAGTCCATCCTCCCACCCTTCGTCCTCCCTGCACATCCTCCTAACTTCCTCTGTTCCTCACTGGAGAGGCAGCAAGGAGGGCCCTACTGAGTGCTGTCACGTACACAGCAGGTGCCAGGCCCCTAAAATAACCCTTTCCCCATGGGCTCTTGGTCCAGGGAGCTTTGCTGGAAGCTTACCCTGGCTTCTCCCAAAGATGGTGATTCATGGGATTCTGACTTTGGACAGACTACTTCAATCTCATAGGAAGCTAGGTGGAGGGTTGTCGAGAAAAGGCCACTTAACCAAAGGCAGGGACAGAGGAGAGGCAGCTTTGCAGGCTGAGAGCATTGTTTGCACTGGTTCATTCACTGTGTGGGCACAAATGGCCCCTTTGGGCTTGCTTGGTGGTGGGGGTGTCTTTCTCTTCACTTTCCTGTTTTGAGCTTATCTCCAGGGACCACTACCAGCCAGCCCCACTCTGCTCACTCACATTGCCCCTTTGAGGTTCCTGGATTTAATCTCCTCTGAGAAATCGTTCCAGATGAATTCTAGAAGGGCTGGCTATTGTCTCTGGCTTTGCTCAGCCTAGGCATTCTGCTTCCTTAATTCAGTCAGTCAGTATCTATTGAGCACCTGCTGTATACCAGGCACTGTTCTAGGCATAGGGATACAGCTGTGAATAGACACGTGCCCTGCCTTGATAGTTTCCATGCTAGTTGGGAGACAGAAAACAAGCAATTAACAAAGAAAACTCCAAGATAAAGCCAAGCATCAGTAAAGCAATGAAGAGAAGGAAGGCAGGCTGCGGTGTGGCCAGGGAGGGTCTCTAGGAAACTGACATCTGCGCAGAGCCCTGGATGGGTGCCTAGAAGGGCATTCTCCCAGAGAGTGTGCCAAGGCCCTGAGCCTTATTCTACTGAGTTCCTTCACATTTTTTCTCAGTAAGAAGTACAGTTTATACAATACAAAATATGCTGTGACCCCATCCTTTTATTTCATGTCTTTTTTTTTCATGGGTGGTATGCCCCTCAGACACCGAGCTACAGGGAAGGGAGGAAGTCAATTGATAATGAACAAATCTGGCTGAACACGGTGGCTCATGCCTGTAATCCCAGCACCTTGGGAGGCCAAGGTGGGCAGATCACCTGAGGTCAGGAGTTCAAGACCAGCCTGGCCAACACGATGAAATCCCGTCTCTACTAAAAATACAAAAATTAGCTGGGCGTGGTGGTACATGCCTGTAATCCCAGCTACTCGGGTGGTTGAGGCAGGAGAATCCTTGACACTGGGAGGCAGATTGTAGTGAGCCAAGATCGTCACTGCACCCCAGCCTGGGCAACAGAGCGAGACTCTGTCTCAAAACAAAAACAAAAACAAACAAACAAAAATAACATATGTACCTGAGGGCCAGAGAGGGTAAGCTGC